GAGGAGGACGGTGCCACCTGGCGGTCCAGCGCGCCGCTCGGTGGATTCAGCGACATCCTGCGACTTCTGTTGCTGCAGCTGCGGGCGGACGGCCAGCTGGAGAAGGTAGGCAAACAGTCGACCGACAAGATGCTGATCCCTCCGTGTGTTGCTTAGCTTACATCCGTTCTCTCTTCGCCAGGTCGACGTGGCCGCTTTTCCTGACACCACTGGAGTTTTCGTGGGACCGCCAATCATCTCGGTTCTGCAGACAACTGAAAATGATTTTGAAGATGGTCAATTTAAAGTGAATGACATTCTCCTAGACCAGCCACGATGGAGGAACACGCGCAGCTTGAAGAGCTCACGCGGCGATGGTCTGGAGGGACTGCTACGCGTCCTCGCGCCGCAGCTCGAGGAACTGCAGATCAAGGGCGAGGTACAGCCGAGTGTCATGGTGGAAGTTGAGAGAATGACGTCACTCAAGAGATTGGAAGTAAGATGCGTTAGAGATTTGGACTACCCGGACCTCCCGTTGCAGCTCGAGGAGCTCCATATTCAGTTAGCTAATGAAAACCAGTTGCGATGTGTGGAGAAAATGTCTAGACTGCGCAGCCTGCGGGTAAACGCTTACGTTGGTCCGACTGTGAATCTAGCCCCCTCTCAGCATGGGGCCCTGCGGTGGCTTGGCTTTCTCTTCACTGCAGATCAGAACAGCACCATGCTGTCGCTGATCCGCGCATTTGCCTCATCATTGCAAGAGATTGCGCTATACTGTAGCGTTAGGGAGGTTTTTCTGAATAAAGCACTCTATTTCCCCGACCTAGGCGAAGACCTGGCGGCGTGCGGCCTGCGCGCCCTGCGGCGGGTCGTCCTTGAACGTCTACCCAATGATCCATGCACAGGGCAGGTCGCTGACTGCCTGCTGCAGTGTCGGACCATTGGACGCTCCCTGCCCGCGCAAGTCCAAGTGGTCTGCAGCAAGTGTAACATGTCTGCATTCTAGGGGGAATGCCTAAGTGTACTTGTAACCAGTGAGCACACGTTTAACCTTCCGGTTATTTTTTATACAGCGAGTTGTTCAAATAATCTAAGCATAATGCACAGTCAGGATTTTTTCAGTGGTTTGTCAATGAATATTTTGCAATAATAAAATGTGTAGTACTTATCAGGTGTACATTCCTTCTTCTAAATACATTGCCCGATCGCCTAGGTGGACACATATTGCATCGGTCCAGCGGAGCGCAGCCTCTTGAGGTCGGACGGCCTCGGCTTTGGAGCCTCCCGGTCCGGGGTAGAGCCGGCCTCATTATTTGAGATTGACCGATTGACCCAGGCCTCCGCACACCTGCATCTGCAGAAGG